GTTATCATGTTAGGCTTAACTGCAATGAGCACCTCTTTGCCCATTGGTATGCGCACAAACTGATTTGAAACTAATGGCACGTCATCTGGGGAATGCAGCAATACTTTAAAGCCTTGAATGGGGCCCCGGCAAGCGTAGTCAACTTCTGAGCGAAAACTTTGTAGTGCAATGAAAAGGCCAGCACGTGCTCCTGCACCAAGAACTCGCGCCGGATACGATTTAATGCCACTGTCAATCGCATAACCATCTTGCAATGACCACTTAAGTGGACGTTTTAGTATTATATTTTTAGAAAAGTTCTGAAATCCCATTCTTTGATATTGAAAAGTATTTTCGCGGTAAAGATCGGTGGCGTTAAGACCATTAAATGTATAGCAAATACCTTCTTCGGTGTATGAGCGGGTGAAAAGTTCATCGCATTCACCAAAGTGGCTAAACCATTTGCAATAAAAGAAATATCGGCTGAAGTCCGGCTGCATTTTATCCAATACGCCAAAGTAATCTATTAGATCTGTGGAAAGAATAGGGGTACCACGCTCGATAAGCTGAGTATTGCAGATATGCAGAAGTGTACGGAATTCTTCCAACTCTGCAACACTGATATTTTTCGGTTGAAAGAACCGGCGCGCCTTAACATGCTCTTGTAAGCTTTTAAAGAATTGGGCATAAGTGACACCTGTAAATAAAAGCACAATATTAGGTACACATTTTTCGCTCATTTTTACAAATTCTATTAATTTCGTTCGTGTACAAACCCCTTGTTTTGGAGACTCGCTTGGTTTCCGAACAGATGGTAATAGCCGGAAATGGTATGCTCCAAACAGGTGTAGACTTTTCCGAAAAACTCACAATCACAGGGGTTTCATTCCATTTCATATAAACGCTTAGTATGAGATTTGAGCAGCAATATATTGAAGCCAAGAATACACAAAGCCAAAATATTTTCTCTACTAAGGGGCGGTGCTCCCCAAAGTATTGAATGCCATGAATTGAAGTGTTGGCGCAGTACTCGAAGTAAATCTGCTTAATACCTTTTCCTAGCCACTTTCGTTGACGCAAATATTGGGCGGAGCTGTTTTTCTTTTCTTCCAGTTCAAGTTCGGTTTTAGTAGAGTTTAAATCTATTGGTCCCATTTCGA